AAGGCCAGTCTGGGCTACTTTGCGAGACCCTGTCTAACCAAAAAAGTTGCAGGTCACTTGCGCAGGTGGCTCCTACACACAATAGAGCCAGGTCTCCCTGGGCGACTTCCTTGACTGGCACCTGAGTGAAGAAATGAAGACTTGGGGGGCGGGGGGGCGCCTAGGCAAGCTGCCTGTACTCGGCTGCCCCGAAGTCTGGACCAGGGATGAAAGCTAAGCGGCCGGTGAGCGCAGTCGGAGCTCAAACTAACGAGCAAGCTCATAAAATACTGAAGCGACACTTCAGAAACCAGCCCCTGCCTTCCAATAAACAGGCAAGAGAAAACAAGGTCTTCCTGCCTCGCTGTTTCTCCAGTGAACAATCACAGCTCCAAGGCAGCGGTGTACACAAATGCAAATGTGGAGTGAGTGTGTGTGTGTGTGTGTGTGTGTGTGCGTGTGTGTGCGTGTCAGGGGGTGGAACCCAGGGCCTGCACCTGCTAATCACATGACATCCCAGCCTCGTGCTGGTTAATCTTACAGAGAAATACAAATGTCTGTTCGGGCTAAGAATTTGCAGGCTGGGGTAAAATCTACTCCATATGCTTTCATAGAACTAGCTCTCTTTCAATAATGTACGTGTGATGCCTTTCAACAGGCTTCGTCTATGTGTCCTGCTCGTAGGAGGTGTTCAAGAAAAAATTTTCAACTTGAGGCCTAGGGTACGGCTCAGTGGTACTGGGCTTGCCTAGCGTGCACAAGGTTTGGATTCCCAGCACTACAAAAATGAAAGAAAGGTCAGGAGGCTGAGGCAGGAAGATCGCAGGTTTGAGAACTCTGGGGCCAACCTGGGCTACACAGGGAGTTCAAGTCCAAATTGGCCCTGAACTCTCTTTGTATCCCAGGCTGGCCTTCACTTGAGATCTTCCTGCCTCAGCCTCCTGCTGGGATTACTGATATATACAACCCCCACCTAGCTAAGAAAAGAAAATGTAATTGTTCAAAAAGCAATGCTATAGGGGCTGGGGAAATAGCTTAGTTGAATAAGCACTTGCCTGGCAAGCGCAAAGTCCTGAGTTCAATCCCCAGTACCGGAGGAGGGAAAAAAAGCAATGCCATGAAGAGCCATATGGAAATCATTTTATTATAATTCAATTATGTTAATACAGTCATTTTTACTGTTTGACTTCATTCAAAAACAAAAAACTCTATTTAAATATAAAGTCCTACATTTGAGTTTTTTCCTATAGTTGTATGATAACTTCCCAACACTTTGCAATTTCTCATTTTCTACATATGAAAACTTATTACCAAACATAATTAAAAACAACAACAGCGGGGCTGGGGAGATGGCTCAGTGGAATAAGCGCTTCTCTGGCAAGTGCAAGGACCTGAGTTCAATCCCCGGTTCTGGAAAAAAAAAAAAGAACAAAAACAACAACAGGGCTTGAACCCACGGCCTTCACACTGAGCCATATCTGTCCTAGTCTTTATTTTGACACAGGATCTCCTTAAATCAACACGTTGTCTGGGCAGGGCTCCAATTTTCCACACTCCTGCCTCAGCTTCCCCGAGTGCTAGGATGCCAGGCTCCAGCAAGAGAGTAAGCTCTCTGCTCTGCTAGGAGGCAGGAAGTGGCTTCTGTGCAGGCCTTCCAGGCGCACGTTAGAGACCTGTCTTTTTTTAAAAGCCAGTGTGGCCTTTTACCGAAGGTTCACACGTTTACCTAAAACGTGTGTTAAATCCAGCGGCACCTGTGCCTGCACACTGGTTCCAGGGAGGCCGCAGAGCCTCAGCTCACTCTGCACCGAGCACCCCGGCTGTGCCAAGCTGGGGTTTCAAAGCCGATCATCATCTCATTACACACAGGCTGGATCCAAAGCCACCGCGCAGGGGAACCCTCAATCGTGGCCCCGCTGGCCTGCCCAGCGCACCACAGGCTCCTGGCTCTGACCACCGGCCAGATGGATGGACGGCCAGATGGATGGATGGATGGATGGGGCTCACCCCAGCCACCATCTCGCCAGTGCTCTAGGTCTGCGATTTCTACTTTTGAATCCTAAAAACAAGGCAAATGAAAACAGACGTTCTGCTGCCCTATATGACTTGGCATTTTCACCCTAACGCTCAAATTTTGAGCAAGGTGTCCTAGTAACACACGTGCTAGCCCACTTGTTAACTACGAGTTTGAGGCCAGTGTGGGATACACAGAGCTCAAGGCCAACCTGAACTGCATAGGGAGACCCTGTCTCAAAAATAACAAAATATATATTTGGGTATACACAAGTGCTAAGGGATTCATTCCTCCTCATAAAATTGCCAAGTGAAAATGTGTTCTAGGGCTGCGTACCTTTCTCCCTTAAAAGCAGTTTCCACTTCTCGATGTAGACTCCAAGCCTTCACAGGAGAAAGAATATTACCACAGATCCTCCTGGATTCAGTACCCAGCTTGGATGGCCATTAACTCTGGACCCATTTTCAGTATTATCTGTCCAAACTTTGCAGATCCAAAGTTTCACTTCATATATATATGTATTGCAGTTCCTGTTTCTTTTTTTGAGACACGACCTCCCTACGTAGTTCAAGCTAGCCTGGAACTCATCACGATCCTCCTGCCTCAACCTCCTGAGTGCTGGGATTACAGACTAGTGCCACCACACCCAGCAGTTCCCATTTGTTTTCAACAACTCCTGTCTTCGCTTTCTTCACAGTCCTCAACTCAAAACAGTATGTGCAGAATAACACAGGACGCCGAAGTGCCACCTCCAGGACAGAACCCAGGGCCTTCACACAAATATCCACAGTCCTTATTTTATTTTTAAATCTTTTGTTTATTCATTTGGTACATGGTCTCACTATGCAGTTCAGACTCAGAGTGATCCTCCTGTCTCAGCCTACCCAGCGCTAGGATTACAGGCGTGAACCACCATGCGCCGTTTCAAAGGCCAGAATGGCGCACTCGTATTCCAAGGATGGCACGGCATGCAGTACCAGGGATCGAATCTGGGACCTTGCACTTGCTAAGCAGGCCCTTAGACCATTGAGCTATCTCCCCAATTTTTGAAGGCTACGCATGGTAACACACGCCTGTAATCCCAGCACTTGGGAGGCTGAGGCAAGAGGATCGTTTTGAGTTCAAGATCAGCCTGGGCTACGAAGTGAGCTCAAGGCCAGTCTGAACTGCATAGTGAAACTCTGTCTCAAAAAGTAAAATATAAACGAATTTTAAGACACTACGTTCCCGAGGGTGAGCTGGAGCATTCCATCCTCCTGCCTCAGCCTCCCACAGCACTGGGACGACAGGCCTGCTCTACCACGCCCAGCTCAACTGGAGCTTTGCTCAGTTCTTCCCCTAGCACGACCTCAGCTACAACCTCCACCCACATCCCCGTGAAATGTCTTCCTCTCACTCAGTCCCCAATTCACCGAAACACACCGCGGGTTTTCCCTCCAGAATCCCATCCTGCTGCTTAAACAATGAGAAACAAAAATTTCTATTCTCCAGATAAAGACTACTTATTTCTCCCCTCCACTCACGGATAACCAGAAAGGAGGGACAGGAGTAGGAGAGGCACATACAGGAAAGAATTACTGTATAGCACTCAGAGGGGCAGCTTTTTACTAATTAGGTATGTGCTAATGTTGACGACCATACTTTATTTCAAAAGGATATTTACAAACATTCGCTGCAACGCTGTCCTGAATTCCTTTGGACAGGAGATGCTTTTATACTGCACTATCTTAATTTAAGGGAGTTTTGCCCTCAGGATTTTAGTATTAGTAACAGTGGCTGCTGCAGAGCCTAAGAAATGGTTATGTAAAAACAAAGCAAAAAAAAATTAGCGACGATGCATTGTTTCCAATGGCTCTAACCTTGTTTTATTTTGACAGATTTCTTAGCCTCACCTTGGACGGCACCCAGCACCCCACGTCGCCCCAAAGCCTCCTCCGAAGGACCCCAGGGTGCTCCGCAGACGCTCGGCTCGCCCGGGAAGCCGGCCCCGAGCGCGGCGCAGCACAGCCACGGATCCGGAGCCTCGGTCCCCTCCTTCCAGGCCACCTCTTGCCTCGCGACCTCCCGGAGCCCGCCGAGGGACAGCATCCCTCCCGGCCGCACCTCCGGTTCTCGGCGTCCCAGGGTGGCCGGGGCCGGACAGCTCAGCCACCGCGGCGGGCGCGCCAGGTCCCCGCTCCTCGGAGCCCGCGCCCCTTCGTTCGCCGCGGGCCCATCTCCGTCCCTGCCCCTCAGGACCCAGCGCCGCAGCTCCCTCTAGGGCACATCTAAGCGCCCCCGGACCCCAAGCACAGCCAGCGCCCTCCGGGCCACGGTCCCCGCGTCCCGGGCGGCTCGCCCCGGGCCCTGCACCCCGAGACCCAGGCCCGCCCAGGGTCGCCTCGGGGACTGCGCAGCGCGGCCTCCACGCCCCCAGGACCCCGAGAACCGGCCGCCCCTCCCGGCCC